GTCTTTTGACGAGCTCGAGCGGCTCGTGGATCGCTACAGTACGAGCCGAGCGGCCGAGCCGACGAGCCGCTCGGCTCGATTGCCATCACTAGTTTCACATAGGTATATTTCCTCTGTTCTAAGGGAGAGGTGCTTCATGTTTTTCAGACATACTCGACCCAGTTTTTTACAAGTCCTAAGATTTTGAGGTTGATAATGGTGGTGAATATATATCTAACGCTTTCCAAGCCTTTTTATCCGGCAGAAAGGCATTATATCTCAGTGTTCTTGCCTTTATACGACTCAACAGAACAGAATGGTTGAACACAAGAATCGTTATCTGTTAGACGTTCGAACTTTACTTTTAAAGTCCCCTGTTCCTTCCAAGTTTTGGGTAAAAGCTTTGTCCACTATTGTCTATCTGATTAATCGTCTACCAGAACAAATTTTGTACAATGAGGCACCATATTCTTGTTTGTTTGGTTCACATCCTAGTTATCAAAACATGCATGCATTTGGATGTGTATGCTTTGTTCATCTACTTCTTCATGACCATCACAAACTTGCTGCTCAATTTGTTCAATGTTCTGTCTTGGGACACAATATATCTCAAAAAGGTTTTGTATGTTTTGACTGATAGCAATCGTATTTCTAGAAATGTGATCTTCTTTGATAAACAATATTCTTTCAATGTCATGTTGATCATAGTTCTAATCTAGCCATGCTTCCTAACTTTGATTATGTATCTCGACCTATTGAGCACTTTAAACCAAGTATTTAACAGAGACGACAACCTCCACTTCTATCATCGCCACTTTTCGACCTTGATTTGGCATCTATTCTTGAAGCTTCTGCTCCTCGATGGTTCGTCCTAACCTTCTCATCTACCAAAAAGGTATGATTTTTCTCACATGTCGCTTAGAGTGTGTTTGATTGACATGAAAAATATATTCCATGTTAGTTGGAAAATAAAAATCCACCAAACCCATAAGAATTCATTTTCCATGAAAACAAAGAAAATGCAGCTTCTAAATGGTTGTACCTTATAATTCGGTTTCCATTTTCACGTTGCAATCAAACGGCCAAAGTGAGATTCGTTTTTCTCTGATGTGACATTTTCCATGGAATTCATTGCAATCAAAAAGGGCCTTAGTTATCATGCAACTTTTTAACCCTCCACATCATAGAACATTCTTCAGTAGGTTTTTTTGTTATAAATCAACATATACCAAATGAACCAACAAAAAATCTACCCCAAAAGCTACCCATAAATGTAAATGAAAGGCCATGAGAAAACTAAATACTAGATTCACTCAACATAACCCTGTCCTTTTGCATCTTTGCCACTAGTTACCCCGCAACTTTTTAATTCTCCACGTGTCATAGAACATTATTCAGCAGGTATGTCTGTCAAAAATTGACATAATCTCATGAAAGTTTTTCCCTGAACTACACATCACATATTCCCATTTCCAAGGGACAGAAGACACGTGGAAAAATGAATGGGCACATTAAATACTACTAGATTCACTCGTATACAAATGAACCAACAAAGAATATACCTCAGAAGCTACCTATAAATGCAAACCAAAGGCCATAGGAAAACTAAATAATAGATTCACTAGAGTAACCCAGTCCGTTTGAATCTTTGCCTCTAGTCACCCTGCAACTTTTTAACCCTCCACATGCCATAGAACATTCTTCAACAGTTATCTTCTGACCAAAAATCAACATAATCTCATGGAAGTTTTCCCCAATTTACACAATCACGTATTTCCATTTCCGAGGGGCTAAAGACACGTTCAAAATGAAAAGCACATTAAATGCTTAAATACTAGATTCACTCGACATAACCCAGTTGCTTTGCATCTTTGCCACTTGTTAGCATACAACCTTTTAAACCTCCTCATTTTGAAAAACATTTTTGAGCAGGTATCATCTGCTGTAAATCAACATATAATTAATGATCCAACAGAAAATCTACGTCAAAAGCTACCCATAAATGCGAACCAGAGAACTAAATACTAGATTCGCTAACATAATCCTGTCAGTTTTCATCTTTGCCACTGGATACCATGCCACATTTTAACCCCCCATGTCTTAGAACATTTTTGAGCAGAGAACGAACCAACAGAAGATTTGCCTAAAAAAATACCCATATGCAATGAGCTCAAACAGAGCACAACATAAGCTCTACACCTACCTAGAAAACTACAGAAAATTGACAATTCATCAAATGTAAAGCACATCAAAGTTAAATAATAGTGAAGCATAAACATATACAAACAATTCACACTTGCATTTGTATCTATCTCCTTAAAAATTTCTCATTAAGATGCACATATAAGCATATATATGTATACGTATATAAGATTTTTACCTCAGCGCCAAGACGGTTCTTGATTAATCTTTGAACGTATTCAATTACATCTCTTCTTCTTTCTTCAGAAATTGCAGTCGGCTGTACCTTGCAGATAATCATATGGGCAGTTTTCTCTGCTGTCTCCCATAGCTCCGGCCCAATTTCCGATGGACTCTGGTTCGCCGGAGACATCAAAGGAGATGATAAAGGCCTCTCCCCCACCGCTGCTCCGCCGCCATCGGCTGATTCCGGAAGATCATTCATCAATAAAAAATTTAAAAACCCGAAAAAAAAAAGAAAAAAATCCTTTCAAACTGCAAACTTCAAAAGTTCCAAAAATAATACAAATCCCTATGATCAGCACCTTGAAACCCGATCGCTTGTTTAAATTTAAAAAAACAAAAAAAACAAAAGAAAAGAAAGATGCTTCCTTTTTCTATCTCTCTGTCTAAAATGGAGAAGGTGAACGCAGAAAAAGAAAAAGATTCCAAAAGATTGAAAATGAAGGAGATTTTGAGAGTTCTAAAGAAGTAAATAGTTCGATTTTTCTGGGTTCTTGCTTTCGAACAAAACAAGCTAATCTGTAAATTTATACAATTATATTGCATCTAATTAACATGATACGAAGTGCAATCCGTTATAGTATTACGGTAATCTCACGACTGATTGAATAGCTTTAATTTTCTTGTTTTTAATTAATTATTAAGAATATTTTCTAACCCTAATTAAAATGTTCATCATTTTTCACCAACATAATCACTTTTGTTTATCTGAATAATTTTTTTTACTTTATTTTGTGTTTGAGTCTTTGAGACTTTTGTTTGATTGGAATAAAGAATATTCAATCAATAAAATTATTGTCATCTTTTAGTTCAACATCATAAAATGCATATATCAATATTCTTGTGGTTGCTAAGACTTTTGCACAAAGTAAAAGATGTAAATTTCTAAATAAGTCCAATTTACTTATAAGTAATTTTTAACTTTTAAATATATTTATCTAAATTTTTAATTATTTATGTATAAGTATGGTTTAAACAATTTAATTTTGTTATGTGATGCTTCTAATAATATATTATTTATAGGGTTAATTTCACAAATGGTCACTGAAGTTTCAAAGTTTCAAAAACGATCATTGAAATTTGAAATTTCTTTCAAAATGGTAACTGAATTTTCAGATTTTTTGGCCAAGTTTGAGACAATTATTCGACAACTTCCGACCATCAAAATCGTCGATTTCGGATACCGTTGAAAAGCTCACGATGTCCTCTTCAATTACCACCAAAAATCTCCCCAAAACTCTAAGTGATTCGGCCGGAATAAAGCCACAAAGTCGGCAACCAAAAATTGTGAAAATCTGCTCAAATTTTCAGATTTTTTGGGCAAGTTTGAGGCAATTTTTTGGCAACTTCCGACCACCAAAACAGTCGATTTCGGATACCTTTGGAAAGCTCACAATGTCCTCTTTAATTACCACCAAAAATCTCCCCATAATTCCAAAGGATTCGGCCGGAATAAACCCACGAAATCAGCTACCAAAAAAGTCTGAAAATCTGCCCAGTTTGGATAGCTGACTTCGTGGGTTTATTCCGGCCGAATCACTTGGAGTTTTAGGGAGATTTTTGGTGGTGATTGAAGAGGACATTGTGAACTTTTCAACGGTATCAAAAATCGACGGTTTTGGTGGTCGGAAGTTGCCGAAAAATTGCCTCAAACTTGCCCAAAAAATCACAATTTTCGGTTGCCGACTTCGTGGCTTTATTCCGGCCGAATCACTTGGAGTTTTGGGGAGATTTTTGGTGGTAATTGAAGAGAACATCGTTGGCTTTCCAACAGTGTCTGAAATCAGCGGTTTTGGTGGTCGGAAATAGCCGAAAAATTGCCTCAAACTTGCCCAAAAAATCTGAAAATTCAGTGACCGTTTTGAAATTTTCAGGTAACTTCAATGACCATTTGTGAAATTAACCCATTATTTATATAATTAATATTTCATTTTTTAATTAACTATATCTCTGCAAGTAGTTTAAAACTTGATTAGTGCATAGAAATTTGAGTATTAAAAAATTTCTATTTATGATTTACAAAAAAATTCATTTAAATATTACTAAATTTGAAATAGTAAATTGATATTTTCGAATATAAATACTAGAAATTCGAAAAGTATTCTAATAGTTCTCTGTTAAATGACAAAACTTTAAAATGATAACTATATCTTTAGCTTTTGTTTGGCCCCAATTTTGTCAAAAACTCATTTTTTTTTTTCAAAATTCCACTTTCATCCACACATTCTCCCTTAAAATAATTTTACACGTAAATTAAAATTTTTTCAAGAAATCACTATTTCAAAACATGTTTTCATACAAAAATGGGGTTCAAACGAGAACTTAAAATGACTACTATGGTCAGTTAAACATCTTATAATGAATTTTAATTACGTGTCAATATTATAAAGGGTTAATTTCACAAATGCTCACTGAAGTTACCTGAAAATTTCAAAACGGTCACTGAATTTTCAGATTTTTTGGGAAAGTTTGAGGCAATTTTTCGACAACTTCCGACCACCAAAACCCCCGATTTCGGATACCGTTGGAAAGCCAACGATGTTCTCTTCAATTACTACCAAAAATCTCCCCAAAACTCCAAGTGATTCGGCCGGAATAAAGCCACGAAGTCGGCAACCGAAAATTGTGATTTTTTGGGCAAGTTTGAGGCAATTTTTCGGCAACTTCCGACCACCAAAACCGTCGATTTTTTATACCATTGAAAAGTCCACAATGTCCTCTTCAATCACCACCAAAAATCTCCCCAAAACTCCAAGTGATTTGGCCGGAACAAGTCCATGAAGTCAGCTATCCAAACTGGGCAAATTTTCGGACTTTTTTGGTAGCAATTCTAATAGTTCTCTGTTAAATGACAAAACTTTAAAATGATAACTATATCTTTAGCTTTTGTTTGGCCCCAATTTTGTCAAAAACTCATTTTTTTTTTTCAAAATTCCACTTTCATCCACACATTCTCCCTTAAAATAATTTTACACGTAAATTAAAATTTTTTCAAGAAATCACTATTTCAAAACATGTTTTCATACAAAAATGGGGTTCAAACGAGAACTTAAAATGACTACTATGGTCAGTTAAACATCTTATAATGAATTTTAATTACGTGTCAATATTATAAAGGGTTAATTTCACAAATGCTCACTGAAGTTACCTGAAAATTTCAAAACGGTCACTGAATTTTCAGATTTTTTGGGAAAGTTTGAGGCAATTTTTCGACAACTTCCGACCACCAAAACCCCCGATTTCGGATACCGTTGGAAAGCCAACGATGTTCTCTTCAATTACTACCAAAAATCTCCCCAAAACTCTACGCGATTCGGTCGGAATAAACCCACGAAGTCAGCTACCCAAATTGGGCAGATTTTCNTCGATTTCGGATACCGTTGAAAAGCCCACAATGTCCTCTTCAATGACCACCAAAAATCTCCCCAAACATTCAAGTGATTCGGCCGGAATAAACCCACGAAGTCAGCTACCCAAACTGGGCAGATTTTCGGACTTTTTTGGTAGCTGACTTCGTGGGTTTATTCCGGCCGAATCCCTTGAATCATGGAGAGATTTTTGGTGGTAATTTAAGAGGACATCGTTGGCTTTCCAACGGTATCCGAAATCGACGGTTTTGGTAGTCGGAAGTTGCCGAAAAATTACCTCAAACTTGGCCAAAAAATCTGAAAATTCAGTGACCGTTTTGAAAGAAATTTCAAACTTTAGTGACCGTTTCTGAAATTTTGAAATTTCAGTGACCGTTTTGAAATTTTCAGGTAACTTCAGTGACCATTTGTGAAATTAACCCATTAAAAAAATATTATACTTGTTTGTTTTTTATTTGTGGGTAGATGAAAGAGATAGTAAATTGCTTGGAAAATTAAAAAAATCTCCTTAAAAGAAAATATTTTTCTTGTTTTCAAGAAAAATATTTTCATATGATCAAAAGTAGAAAAATATTTCTTATGGAAATTTTTTTTCAAACAAACAACACATGAAATTAG